TCGCCCGACTGTCCAACGACGTCCAAAGGCCGATAATAGGGTTGGTGTGTGTGAGTCTTTTGCAGTGTCAGAAACGTGTGACGACGTAGAGCGGTCTCCCTTGGCTTCCGCTGATGAGGGCTTGGGCGTGGGGCGATGCGGCGTGCTGCGGTGCGCGACCTCCGTGCAGGCCCTGACGTAGGCTGATGGCGAGGACCCGCCCAACGCTGCTTGCAGCTTTAATTTTATTTGTTTCTTGTTTGCAGCTGTTTCTTTTACACATTGCTGCGTGAGCGAAGTATTAAGTTCATTATGGAACAATTTTCAGTTTTCATTAGACAATGACAAGGAGCTAGTCAATACACACAAAATATACTGTATACTTAAAGCTGCAGTATAACTTTTATGAAAAAAACATTTTGTCACATTTACTGAAACTTTCACTGTTTCCTGACAGTAGTACATGAGACAGATGATCTGTGAAAAGATCAGGTTCCTCTGAGAAAGACAAAGATGCACAGTAACAATTATACTAGTAATGCCTAATAATGATGAGGACGACAACGACAACAGCCATAATGATGGTGAATGATGAATAATAATGATTATAATAATATGACTAAAATAATAATAATAATAATAATGAATAATTACAAAAAATAATAATTATGGTGAGTATAGTGATCCATGATGCAGACCAGTCACATCATTGAAACTGTTAATATTAATCAGTAACATGACAACCTTTTGTGGACAGCTACTTTCCAAAGTGAAAAAAAAGTTCAACATGAATCAGTTTGGTGAATTATGTTGTAAAGTTTGCTGTAAATGAGTGCCAGCAAAGACTGGAAACGCCACAGCTTATTTTATCACTGTATCACCATCCTGTTGACTTTGCTGTTGGCAGGTGATTTCTGAGGACCCAACGAAGTTCAGGTCAAATTTAGTTCAATTTGGACACAGGACGTAGATGTGCTGTTTAAACAGGATATTCGCAGATTTTTCTGCATTTACTGTAACATTGGATCTGAGAGTGCCAAAGTCATAAACACAGTCACTCTCCCTCGTGCTTTCCATCATCCCTCTGTGTTTTCATCCCTTTCTGAGAGTTATGTCTATAGGTCAGAGCGTTTGTGTTTTATGCAGTTTGAATGTACGCTATTATGAAATAGATATTTAAACCAAGTCCAGTAACTGTTGGCCATCAAAAATATTAATAAACAATTCTAACAAAATGAATCCCAAATTGCTCCTGATGCTGTGTGAATGTGTGTGTGACTGTGGCATACAGTGTAAAGCGCTTTGAGTGGTCGGAAAGACTAGAAAGGTGCTATATAAGTACAATCCATTTACCATTTTTCATTTCAGGGCGGCGCTCTGCTGGGAAATGTAAATACATTACTCACCTCATTCCCTGCTGACCCCAGTAAGCAGTACCAAACCCAGTGTCGGATACTGCTGGAAGGACTGAACCTGCCACTGTTACTTCAGAAAGAGATGGACAGACTGGCCAGGTAACCGAATTTGTTGAATCCCAATTGTAGTGCTAGTGATTGTTATGCACATTGCATTGCTTAAATTATGTGGCTTTTGTTTTCTTCTTATTGTTGTCAAGAAATCACAAAGAAATCAAAGCTGTCAATGAGCATTCATATCTGACAACTTCCTCATCCTTCTATGTATTATCCTGTTGCCTGATCAAACTCTGCCGTTGAACAGATGGAGTCTGCCTGGTCCCAGAACTATGTTTCATCAGGAGTCATTAATAACAAGCACATCATGTTTAATTAGTCAATAATCAATACATGCATTATGAAATCATTAATCCAGCTAATAACAAACAGCAGTCAACATCAGACTACTACTTATACATACACACACTAACCTAGTGTTGTGTACCTGTAGTTACGAAAAAACATTCAAACAAAAAGTGGAACATATTAACAGTGGGAATTACACTAAAAACGCTGAACTCCCTGTAAGATTACATAGTCCAAGTCCATTCATACACTTTCACAATTGATTAAATATCTTGCGATCGTCCTCACAAGAATGAGTCCCAATTTGCCTCTGATTGGGAGGCTTTCAGCGGCGATCTCCAAAAAGGATGGCAAGTGAAAAATGAGTTATGTCTAATGTGTTTAAGTAGTGTTTGGATGACCATGGAGAGTTTTCATCAAAAAAGAGTTAGTTCACCTGCATATTTTTTTTCACTAGGTTAAAGAGCAACACCTCAGAGTCCTCCCCGCCAACTCATAATTACCAGCATCAACTCAGAGACACAAACTCCATGGAAAAAACACATCACCATGACATCACCAGTAACTACAAGGATGATGGCTTGGACTGGTTTATCTCCATCACACCATCACTGTTGCCAGATGGTATGGTCTCACCCATAATTACTTCTACTCAAGAAAACCAAAATAGAAAACTGAACTCCAGTTGGTCAGAAATGTCTACAGTAACCAAACAGCCAAACGGTCAAACTGAGAAGGACATTTCAAGTAACATTGGCTCAACCTTAAATCATGATGTAGTTTCAAATCAGTTTGGAACAATTACTTTTGCTTTAGAAGAAGAAAACCGAAAAAGCGAAAATGAAAACAAAGAAAAAACCTCTGTAACCAAAGAGGGGATAAAGCAACCTGAGAGACAGAAGGATGCAAAACATCGAGAGTCATTGGGGTGTGTGTTTCAGAAAGTCTCTATGAATCTGAGAGCAAGAAGACTCTGGGAGCTGGAGCTGAATCATCAGCAGTGTGACAAAAAGGGAGAAGGAGAACATGGAGAAACGGTGGAGTTTGTTTGTAAAAATATTACAAAATCCCACACTAGCAGCACACTGTCAGCAGGTAAGAACCACCCCCCAAATATCCTAGTTCAGGATAACCTTTCTTCTGGCAAAGAAAGTACATTTGCTAAGGAAGACGATAAGGATCGGACTGGTATTAAGAACATTATTGCTTTGGTAAGCGAAAAGATGGAAGCTGAAGCGGGAACATGTAAAGAATTGCATGAAAAGTTGTCAGGCTTTAAATTCCAACCAAGGAAGATGAGACCTTTAGTCCTCAGCCATACTGCCAACTCAGATTTCAGCGCAGTGTTCCAACCTGGATGTAACCCAGGCAGCAGATATTTTCATGCTCACACAGAAGGCAGAATCAGTAAACAGAAGCCAGACACAGTTACAGACACAGAGAAGAATAGGAGACAGAATAAGCAGGACCAGAACAGAATTACTTCTGAAGTTGTAAGTACGAGAAACCAGGTGAGCTGTGTCTGTGAGGTTGGAGACAGTAGGTCTGAAGCACCACCCAAATCAGGCCACACCAAGTCCACTGTGGCCTCCTCAACCCTGGCAAAACTCTCAGTATTCACATTCACCTGCACAGCTGAACCCACGACCACAACTCAAATGAGAGTGGAAAAAAATCCGCCTGGAGTGGAAAAAAGTCCCCTTAAAAGAGATAGTGCTGAATGCTTGAGAGGGAATTCTAAAGACAAGAAAACTCTAAATTCCCCCGAATACAGTCCCTTGGGAAAGAAGATCATGGGCAAAGTAAGGGATACATTAACACCCCCAACCACTGAGCTCACACAAGGACAAAAACTCGAACAAGGGACAGAGTTACCAACTAAAACAAGGTGCAAAGAAATTCAGAAAGAACCTACTTATGTTGATGATGGTCCTGACTACCAAAGTACTGTAAATCTGAAGAAGAGAAAGAGTTTTGAAATAGGCACTCCACCTAGTAGTGTTGGTGGCTCAAAGGGTCTGTTCTCAGGGCTGTCTCTGTTTGGACATGTTGAGTTAAGTAATGATGTCCTTGAAACTGACTGGGACCAAGAGGTTTCAAAGAAAGCCAAAATATGAAGAATTATTAAGAACTGTCACTTTGTGTGTGGGGGTGAAAAACCACAATAATGTACGTCATATCACATTTTTCCATGGGGTACATCAATTTAATGTTACCTTCCGTAGCCTGAGAATAAATGTCAAATCGTTTCAGGTGTTTTTTTGTTTTTTTTTGCTTCCTCATTTGCCAGTCAGAGCAATGGAATTATGAATTAATACTAAGCTGACAGATGTTTTTTAACCACAGCACTTACATATACTTCATTAGTGTCAATACAGCCAATACAACATTTTCCTTGGCACCTACATCCACTCCCATGATATTATTATACAGTAGATAGTACACTTATAATTGTATCCTTACGTTAATGACCAACTGTGTGGAAAATGTGAACGCGGCCAGTGTCGTCGGATTTATTTCTTACCACCCACTGAGTTCCATTAGTTTCACATCCGCTTTGAAAATCAATAAAGCCAACAAAATATTACTGTGATATTTTTGGTTTCCTTCATTTATTCTTTGTCCTGTGTTCTTATTGATATCCTGGTTTGAGCCGTACTGGAGTATTCAAAGGCATTGACATCTCGCTTTTAAAAGTGGGCTGTTTATCAGTAGCTTTTCAATCCCGGCAGCTGTGGTGCAGAGGCAGAGCGGGACCTTCCTAATCGGAAGGTTGTTGGTTCGATCCCCGGCTCCTCCTGCCTCCTGCCAC